CTCCTCCGAAAGGTCAAGGTCGTAGCTGCTACAGTTGTCTCTTATACACATCTAGATGTGTATAAGAGACAGGCTCTCTCTCTCCCTCTCTCTCTCTCTCTCTCTCTCTCTCTCTCTCTCTCTCTCTCTCCCCCCTTGCTATAAACCTCCTGTGGCACTACCACCTGGCCCACATTGTCGCCTGCCAATATGGCCACTACACCTTCCGCCACCCACACGTGTCGCCTCGCTAGTAACATGGCGCCGAGATTGCAAATTCTCTGTACGGCAGATTCGAAGTTGGGAGTGAAGCTACCCGCCAACATTTTTTTACCCCATTCTGTTTTCGGGCCTGGGCAACTAGACCCTGACCCTTTTTTTTCCCTTCTCCATACTCTTCTTTTGGGGACGAGCGGAACCGGGGGGAAAGGGGGGTAGGGAGGGGGAAGGAGGGGGAAAGGGGTTGGGGAGGGGTTGTAACTGGCCCTGGTTCTGTGGGTCAGGTGACCCAGGCCAAACGATCACCCGTACACATAACCCACCCAACGGGTGACCCATACCAAATCTTCACCCGCCCATCACCCACAAAGGCTGACTAGCTAGACTCACCTGTGACCCGCCGAAGTCGGCTTAGGTAGACCCGGCCCCATCGCCTTGTGGGTCAGGTGGGTGCAGGTGAGTATCTGGACACCTGGTGCTCACCTCTGGAATATGGTACACAGGGCCAAGTCTGGAACTAGAACAAGGACATGGAGCTGGAGCTGGGACTCAGACCAGGGCGGCAACTATGAAATCCTTTCATTTTCAGTTCCTCTCCTTCCTTTTTGTCACCACCTCCCTTTTTGTTGCCTTTCCTTTTCTGTCGCCTTTTCGTTTTTGTTTCGCCACCTTTACATTCACCTTGTCGTTTCTTTTTTGCTCGTCTTTTCCTTTTCCGTCGCCTCCCCGGTTAAAAAAAAAACCTGCTCAAGCCTCTACCGACCCTGCATGAGGTCCAAAAATTGTAACTGGGCAGAGTACCGGGGGTTTAAACCACCACTGCCCGCGACGCTATCTTAACAAACTGAGACCTTTTTCCCGCTAGAAACGTTGTTGCCATCCGCAAAGGATTTTGTAAATACTTTTCCTGGAATTCGTCGAAAATTCTGAGCACGAGAAACCGGCAGCGTTGGTGCACTCAAACATACTGTGAAAGCCTGCCGACCACCGGTGGCCTAGCTTATCAGTTCATACCGTGTCCCTCAGATTGTGCGAAGTTGTGCATTCTTGAGCTATTGTGCTGTTTAAAGACTTGAATTAAACTTAAAAAAATGGCCATGAACTTCGTATGAGGCCAAAACCTTTGCGATCCTTTTCCAACAACCAAGTTTGTTGGGATTTGAGTCAGTTTGAAATACTTCATACATGGACCCCCCCCCCAAAAAAAAAGACGGAAACTTGACGTGTTCAAGTATCATTTGCTTCATCGGGAACAGGTGTATTTAGTATTTACTCAAATAAAACATCTTTGCAAGATGGATGGATGGACGGATGGACGAGAGGAGCATTGGCATCTGCCAGTTGCAGCTTTTCTGCATCTGTTTCCCATCCCTGAGCATCCAAAGATCCGAGACTCGTCAAGAGCAAAACCCTCAATTAATAAGATAAGACAAAGACAGGTTATGCACAGACATCCAAGCCTGTACTGCACAACAGAAAGAGATAGTTCCGGCAAGATGTGACAGTAGGCGAGCGGACATAGAGGGCATATCACACAGAAATAAAGGAGCATTGGGGCATTGCCTGGGTAAATGAATGGACTGGGTTCAGACAGGACCAGTTCCCCAGCGATTCCATCAATACGAACAGGAGTATACCTGCACAGGAACAAGGATGCCAATCCAACCGAATTGTCAGGTATTTCATCCGACAAAACGTAACGAAACATCCGACCTCGCAGAACTCAAATGTGTGAAGAGCCTCATCTGACAGGCAAAATTGGATTTCCAAAACAAAAGGGAAAGACAAGCAAAGAAACAGGTGTTAGTACTCATCTTATCAGCATGCTTGCTTGATTGATTGCTTGATTGATTGCTTGATTGATTGCTGAACATCTGCGTCCTCCACATCGAATACATGAACAAATCTTCCCAAAAGGGGCAAGCGAGGTAGCTCAGTTGGTTAAACCCCCGTATTGCAATTCAATCCTGGCCGGCCCTCATCCTCTTGTGTGCATGCTCGGTGGGTGTTACAGCATGACATCCCATGTACTCGCCCCCCAACCTAGTGCAGAAAATATTACCTTGCTTAGAGTGAGGACTACTGCCCGATGGGGTAGAGTCCAGGAGAGAACTACAGGTAGTCAATCTCAAAGGGGGCGAAACTGATATGTTTTAAGGCCCTATTGCACTTCCAGCTCCCTTGTCTACTGGAGTTATGCGGCTCCCATACTCATAACTTGCCTTCCTCTTTGCTATGCAGCGTGCGGCTTAAACCACCAGTCCCAGGTTCAAGAAGCTACCTTCCAAGCCTTGTGAGCCTTCAACTGCGCCTTTTCAAAGTGGCCTGCCGTTTTTGCAACCTGCGCAGGCCCAAAGTGGAACAGTCTTATCGCGTATACTGGCAAGGCCACAACTTTGGCTCGCGTGAACCTGTGGTTTAAGGCCTCTGGTCCCAGAGGTTGTTGGTCCCACAATCTGAAGATTATAGTTCCACCTTTCATATGTGCAACCTTGCGTGTCCAAGGTAGTTCTTGTTGAAGGCTTGCTTGATTTTCTGTTGCTTTTTACAGCTGTTTCAAATAACTTGAGTTCTGTTTCCATTTGGTGTTTGAATACTCGTTGTGCCTCTTGGATCGCTCCCTCTTTTTGTCAATGGTCTCCTGTGTTGCATACTGTAACGTGCAGACCAGAACAAGAACCGACCTCTCAATGCAAAGTACAAGATAACACAGCGGAAGACTTAGATACCAATGATCCGAACAATCAATATTGCAATGCAGCACTGAACACACATCATCATCATCGTTATCTGGTGTGAAGGGGTCTGGCGCTTCACACAAGAAGACTGCACCAGCCCCAACCATACACAGACGAAGAAGGAGGGGTTAGACGAAAGAGGAGGGAAGATGGGAATGTCGTCAACACCAAGTCTCGGTACAGGCCCAAATAGTTCCTCGTCGAAATGTCTGAATCCCAATGTCCAGTCTGGACCCAATGTCGTCAAGTCTCAAGTCACAACTCTTTCTCTCTCTGTCGTAGTCTGAGAAGTCAGGTGGCGAGAGGGTGAGAAGAGATGGTGGACTTAGAAGAGGAAGAAGAAGAACTCTCTCTCTCTCTCTGTGTCCAGTACTAACCTCTGAAGTTGGCGCCTTGATGCAGGTACCACGAAGATGGAGCTGGAGCGATGGCGCCACAGGTAAGTACCACTGGCCTCCGCCAGTATCTCTCCCACTCTGCAATCTACCACCTACCAGCGCCCAGCGCTGAAGACTACTGCTACCGCTATGGGTGCCCAGCGCCGAAGACTACAGCTAGCGCTACCACTACTGCCTAGCGCTGAAGACTACTGCAGCGCTCCTCCTGAGTGCTGCGGCCGAAAACCTGAAGACTACCCGTGCCTACTGACAACTACCTGTGCATGGGAACTTCCTATGTACTACCGGGTGTGCCTCCTGAGCCGTGCGAGCAGTTCAGGAGGGTGCTCTTTCCAATGCCGAAAGGAGGCAGGGGCTGCAGCTGCAGCTCCTGCTCGAGCTCGTGAGGAACAGGCTATTTCTGGCCTGTTCCGCATCCCTGTTTACGTGCCTGAGTCTTAGGGGCAGGTCGAAACAATGAGGGCCTGAAAATGGCCCTCCGTTTCAGGCTGGAAAAACTCTGGGTCTGAAAGACCCAGAAATAGGCTGAAACGGAGTAGGGCCTGCAGGCCCTCGTTTTTCAGCTTTCAGGCTGAAACGACCGGGGCCTGTAAGCCCTAAGTTTTAGGCTTTCAGGCTGAATGTCCGGGACGGGCCCTGCAGGGCCCNGTCTGTATCTTCGAGTCCTGGGCCTAGGTCCCGTTAGCAACGGGGATAGAATCAAGCTCCCGAATCTGGATGTGATTTATGCAAAGATGCAGAAAAGCAGTTCAATCTCAACTTACTGCACCTCTCCAGAAACACGTCCAGATTCAGGCATTCGATCGAATCCTCTTTGCTAGCGGGACCACGCCCCTGGGGCGAGGTCCCACTACTACCGGTAGCAAAGAGGATGGGATTGAACGACTTAATTTGGCAGGGTTTGTGGACAAGTGCAGAAAAAAAATCGAGATTGACCTGTTTTTCTGCATCTGTGCCTAAAAACACGCCCAGATTCAGGATCTTAATCCAATCCCCGTTGCTACCTTAGTGGGACCATGCTCCTGCCGTCTTTGCAACGTAAGGACTGGGACGCCAAGTCCTAGTACAGTCTTCCCCCGAATACAACGCACGGTCATTATAGCTGTATTTGAGGCATCATTCAGTCTAGATACAGCTATAATGACCGTACGTTGTCTTCGAGGGAAGACTGTAGCATCGTTGAGTTTCTTCAACGCCCGAATCTGGACGTGTTTGTGGAGAGGTGCTGTTGAGGAAACTCAACGCTTCTTTTCTGCTCATCTCCACAAACGCGTCCAGATTCATCCAGAGTCGGGCATTGAGGACACTCAAACACTGCTAGTGGTGCTTGATGAGTAGGTGAGCTAGGTTGAACTCTGCCAATAACACACGGTGAAACACAGATGTAAAAAAAAAAAATGAAACACAGATGTAACAAAAAAAAAAAAAAACACAGATGTAACACAGGGCCTCGCTGCACTAATCTTTTTTTTTTTTTTTTTGGGAACGACATACAGAAAGCCAAGTTGCGAAATCACACTGATGTCCAAGTAGTCGTGTACAAGCAGAGAGCACAAATGCACCGAGATTCCATCCAAATAAGAGCAATACAATGAGGCCATGAGCCAATGTTCAAGCCCTCAGGCCACACCAACACAGTATCCAATGTCGCTCATCTCTGTCTGGCGCCCAGTGCCCAGCCTACACTACTTGCCTATTCTACCTACATCAGCGTTCATGCAACAGGCTCACTTCGACTCTTGAAGACCAATGTATATGACGTCAACACCATGTTTGGCTGCGTGTGGCCTGGCTGGGAAGCTTCCAGTAGCTTCCAGTCGGGCCCAGTGCTACAGTTGACGGCCTGGGCCCTCTACAGTTGGGCATAACCTGAGTTTCAAGACTTGGGCCATTTGCTGCATTTGCACAGGACCCGGGGTATGTACATCGACAATGCTGCTTTTGCATAGGCCCGTAGCCACTTCATGATGTGTCGGCCCTGCATTGTGTGTATATGCCCAGGCGCAACTACCAAGGCCTGAGCCAAACTGTACGACGCAGCATAGGGAGGCTCACGCTTCCGACCTGAGTTTCAAGACTTGGGCCATTTGCTGCATTTGCACAGGACCCGGGGTATGTACGTCGACAATGCTGCTTTTGCATAGGGCCCGTAGCCACTCCGTGATGTGTCGGCCCTGAATTGTGTATGTGCCCAGGGGCAACTACCAAGGCCTGGGCCAAACTGTACGATGCAGCTTAGGGAAGCTCACTCTTCCATTCAACCAACTGGCTTGCTGCAACAGCCTGAGTGCCCACATATGAAAAATGTCAAATTTTAGCCTCTGGCCCTCTAGTGAATATTCAGGCCCACCTTCACTTAGGGCAGGCACTTGGCTTGCTGAGGGCCTCTGCCCAGAACATGTGCATGTTTGACAAGGGCCCCGCAAGGGCTAATTCCTCGCACTAGTGTGCTACGGTCTATGTGCAGGAGGTTGAGGGCAACCAATCAAAATTCTTTGGCTCTGGCGGATCCAAGGGCTCCGCCAGGTGAAGCCCAATTGACGAATGAAGAGGACGGGAATGGTGCTCAAGCTGTTGCTGCTACAATTGGGTCTGAAGCTGCAGACACATCTGGTATCAACACATGGGTGTGAAACGGTATTCACCTGTTCGCAGTAGCCGATGCAGATCCGAGGGCTCGATCCCTAGTCCTCACCTTACCTGTGTACAGTATCTGTGTCGACCCCGAGAGTTGAACCCGTGACCTGTGTATTTGTAACAGTTGGTAGACTGTCGTGGGGTCCGTAGGTAGTAGGGGTTCGATCTGTAGACCTGTCGGGTAGGAGTCTTAGCAAGGTCTTGAAGTCGTAGCTGTAGCTCCTCCGAAAGGTCAAGGTCGTAGCTGCTACAGTATCGAAAGGCGAAGTCCACGACCTTCCGGAAGGTCCTAGGAAGGTCCTAGTAGTGGCCTTTCGAAGTTGTTCACATTTAGGCTGAGGCAAGTGGGCAAGTGGTGGAGTCTACCCGTGCTGAGTCAGCAGTCCCAGTCCCAGTCATTCCTAGTCCAGTCAAGCAAGTACCATACGGGACTGTGTGCACCACGGGCATGGGAAAGAGGCAGACCAACGAGATACAGAAGTATAAATCAAGAAGCAGCGCCCAGCTATTCATTCATTCCTGCGTAAGCCATGCGGAAGCGCTGCCACAGCGACTTGTGCGAGGTGGTCTGCAGTGAGCCCGAAGACGAAGTGGGCGAGAGAAGGAGCTTAGCCATGGCGATAGGGTAGCAGCGGCCATATATGCCATAGCTGTTAGCAGAGTGTAGCGTGTGTGTGTATGGGTGTACAGAGGGCCGTGTGTGGGATATCCAGGGTGATCCTCTGTGTGTGTGTGTGTGTGAACAGAGAGTTGTACAGGCGCTGTGATGCCATAGCTATTTGAAGTGAACTTGTATCTGAACTGCGTTCCTGGTTTCCATATCTCTGAGTTCTGAGTGGGCGCTCGTCGCCAGTTTGCTGTGCA